GTGAAACTTGATAACTTGATGGTGATAATTTGCAGTGGGGCTGCTTTTCTACCTCATAGTTGACAAGTTCCTAGCAAATAAATCTGACAATTTTTAAATATAAACGAGACATGTTGGGCAGCATAACAACTTAATCGGAATGAGAAATGTATGTATTTTTCTTAAGCATGTTTGTGAATAAGAAGCTACTGATAGGCTGAGAGCATTAGCTCAAGCTCCCAGTCTATTACCAGCTCCCAGTCCAAGGCCTTGCAATTCAACAGGTGGACTGCAGCAGAAATAGCTGGCAGAACAATCTGGTGCTTGGGTTAAACCATTTATTAATGGTTTAATCTTTTACTTCTCTAGAAATCACACCATTGAATAATCTAGAAATCACACCATTGAATATTACATTGAAAGTCACCTACAACTTGTATTATCCATTTGTTCATAAAATGTACCATTTTTATTTAAATGTATATTACAGATCTTGCAAATTATATTATAATCCAGACCTGAGTGCCAGGTGAAAATGACAGAGCTTGTAAGAAAAGAAAAAGGTGATCCAGGCACTCCATTAATTACAGCAGCTTTATTGGACATGAAATTCATTGCAACATTTCGTCCCACTATGGGACCTTGGCCAAGTTTGACAAAGGCCCCGTCGTGGGCTGAAATGTTGCAATGTCAGTTCATGCCCTATAAAGTTGCTTGAATTGATGGAGCGCCTGGAACACCTTTTTCTTTTCACTAAGTGACATTGAATGATTACCAGCCCTTGTTCAAGAGCACCCTATTACTGTTTATAAGAGTGCGGTTTCAATTTTCAGTGTGGACTAGAGCTAATAACAAAGACTGACACAGCAGACAGAGGCTCCCAGTTGCAGGCTAAAGAGCGGGATTTCCATGTTAAATTTTATTTCTGTGACCTCACAAATGCATATGAGTTAAATATTAGTAGCATAATACTAAAAAAGCATGCAAAAATTTTAAACAGTATCCATACAGATACCTAAACCCAAATGTCCATTATAGAACTATTACCTGTACACCACACAAAAGATGCATATGAAACACTTAATTTTGATAAAATGTAAGAAAACACACTATATGAATATGCAATAGAAAATTGAAGAGCACACAAAATAAAAATATACAATAGCAATCGTAAAGTCGAGGATAATACCTGTGCACAAAAAACAGGATATGGTTTGGAGACCATTCCTCCAACATTTTGTTATCAAACAGTTACCTTTATCAAGAGTAGAGTTTTTACACCATGAGAGAATGACCTAATGAACTGTCTATTTAAAGCTCACACAGCTATTAATGAATGATCCATGAGTTAGTGTATGAGCAGGGAGGGTAACAATAATTTTTTTTGGACCCATTGGTCTTGCGTGATTAAGTGCTCTGAAGAAATCATAGGCACAAAGGTTATTCCTGTAGATAAATATTTACTATGATGCGCTTTGACAAGATTTTCTTGTAGTATGTGCACAAGGTTTTAACTGAGAAATGTCATGGTGTGCCAACAGTCCTGAATTTATATTCCTAACGTTATAGTGTCCTAGTAGCCATTTAGGTTCCTGGCCCGCACCTGTGAAAAAACAGATTTTACTTACCTTTTCTCCCTCATAGCACCAGTCTCCAACAACTTGGCTGAGATCATCAATCCAGTGCTTACACACAGGGATTCTGCTCATGTGCAGCAAAGCACCGCGTTGCGGCAGTTAGATGGTTTCTATGAGATCCTCTAATTGAAATCGTAGAGTTTTTCTCTGCTGTTCATCCGAAGTGTCTCTGAGTCTTAGTGACAGACACTAGAGGCAAACGGTGCAATAAAAAAAAAACAATGCTTTTCCTGCAGAATGGTCTGGGTGCCTAAAGTGTCCCTTTAAGATTTTAGTTAAAGTTTGACTTACCGCTAAAACAAAAACTGGTGCCTTCCTGCCTGTGGACTGTAAGTTTGGTTAGGTGCCAGTGCTCTATGTTCTTCTGGATGATACTGCATCTACCCTGCTCTGAGTAAAGTGATTGTGAAGTGGAAGAAGAAAAGTCAGGCATTGTACAAATTATTCTGTAGGAGGATTTTCCATTTACTCTAGGTTAACAATATCTACTGCTCATACAAAAAAACAAGTCCTGCGCTCACTCCCATCACTCCTGGGCGGCAGCAATGACCACAGTACACATCAGCCTCATTACATACAGTAAAAACAAAAAGAAAAAGTTACCTGTGCTCTGTGGTCGTTGCTGATGCCCAGGAGTGATGGGAGTAAGCGCAGGACTTGGTTTTTTTTTGTATTTGTATTCACCTTTTGTATCACACAGCTATGTTACAATGCTGCCGCCCATCCCATGTGTTCCCTATTAAGGGTTAATAAGTATATAGGGGTGTATATAAAAAAATACCCCTCTCTGTCTCATTAGAGCTATGTTTGCCAGAAGCCCAAGGAAGCAAGGTGAAAGGTCAGTGTAGGACCTACCTAGGGGAGTCTGCCTTGACGTTGGTAGGCGGGCATTCCATTGGAGTAACTAATTGCCCTCAATTTGTTTTAATATATACGTAGGGATTTAGGAGAGAGCGCAGGTAACTTTTTCTTAGATTTTTACAATTTCTACTGCTCACCAATGGCTCCCGTGTGCACAATCATTAAAAGAAGAAAAACTACCAAAACAAGAGGACATAGTCTTAAATTAGAGGGGCAAAGGTTAAAAATAATATCAGGAAGTATTACTTTACGGAGAGGGTAGTGGATGCATGGAATAGGCTTCCAGCTATTAACACAGTGAGGTAGTTTAAGCATGCATAGGATAGCTATAAGATGAGGCCAGGGACTAATGAGAGAATTAATAAAATTGGGCAGACTAGATGGGTCAAATATTTCTTATCTGCGATTACATTCTATGTTTCTAAGACTGTACAGATTTTTGTAGTTCAATTTGGAAAAGGTTGCATAACTTCCAACATTAGCCATCTCAGAATCGGGACGCCAGTGGGAGGGTAGTAAATGGAAAAGGCCAGTGCCTCGATTACATCACAGGTATCAGTGGCCCAAAAGTGGGACACCAGGGAACTAAGGTGGGACTGGACTCATACATTTGCATATATTTGGAATATCTTCACCATGTTTGACTGTCTAATTAATATATGTGAGGCTAAAATATCTAGGAGAACTCTCTCATGTACTCACTATTTAGTATTGTAATGTTTATTTTTATCTGTGATGTATTTTTTTATGTAAGTCTGTTGATACTCCTTCATGATTGACATTTACTGCAACCTTGCCTCAATAAAACAAAGATTGACAAATGCTTATTATGTGTGTTGTGTTCATTGTCTCAGTGTTTTGTGTTCCCCGAAAAGTATAAAATCACTGAGTAGAGGCACTGTACATTAAGTTATTTAAGATGGTCCAGACTCCTCTTCCAGCAGACACTCAGAAGATTCCTGCAAAGCTGCAACATCAAGGATGACTATCTTGCCTTCACTACCATCACCAAAGATAGGCAAGCAACAGGTTACATGAATGTGACGGACCGCCTGGCACCACGACTAGGTGCTTCCACCGATCAATGCTACTTAGTGCTCACCGAGTACTCCAAGCACTCTACCAGACACCATTAGCAATGTAGACCCTTAGCCGCCACAGCTTGGCTGGGGTCTCTCTGTCTTCTACTCACCCTGGACCCAAGACCAGGATCCAGATTCCAGTGGGTAGACCTCTCCTACTCCAGAGAGTATAGCAGGATAGCTCTTACAAGATAATGGAAGTCCAGCGGTGTTCGGGAGTTTCCGTGTCCGATTTTAGTTCCAGGAACTCAACGACCAAGCTCCGCTGCCTGCGTTCATGCGAACAAGATGGCCACCATTTCGTGGTCGTTCATGCAAACAGTGGCCACCCAAACAAAAAATTAGAACACTGCAGTTAAAATTGTTACCAAGTGTTAATAAGATTTAACAAGCTCCCGGGTGGTCTCTGGTTTGTGCGGCTGTTCGGTTCCCGAACCACATAATCCCAATTGCACGAACAGAGCCTTTTAAAAGTATTTTAGCCAAGTTCTATTGCAGGGACCATAGTCCTGAGTCAGGAGGCTGACAAGCAGGCCCCTCCAAGAACGCGTGGCGAGGCATTTCTTCCTCAATGAACATAAAGATTAAAAACTAATGTAATAGCACTGGACATTATTAAATTCTATTCTCCACCTTAAAATAAATGTCTTTAATGATGTTTAATATCAAACCTTGATTTCACGTATAACAAATAAAAAAATAAAATGGAAATTGTTGTTATTTGTAATTGGCTTTCTTCAGTACTTGTTGTTGTCAAGAGTGATAAAAGACAGCGTGTGCTATGTTTAGATCGCTAATTGCACAGAGATAAATATACAATACTTCTGGGTCTTTTTCTATCACAGCAAAGCTGATCTGGCATTTCTTGCTTGTTAACTCCCATTGGCAGCAGATGCTGAATAGAATTTGTTTCATAATTTATGTTACTGAAATCTGGTGATTTGATAATTAATGTATGGTGACATGCGTTTTAGCCAATGTTTGAAAAACAGAGAAAGTAATAAGACCCAGGAGGTACGAACTAGTAGAAATAATTATTTCTTGTATAAGATGTGAAGAATCGATTACTAGCATGATGCACCACTACATTATTTATATTGTTTATTATTGGATCTTTTGACTAAAATGGAGTACATTTAATACCAAGCATTTCCATTGTTATTTACATTTTTTTTATTTACCAAGCAGCAACATATTATATGGGACAGCAGATAGACAAATCATAAAAATTCATATCATTAAAATTTCCAAACACGTTGAGTTTAAAGAAAAGGGGGCACTATGTTCAAATAAAGCATATAGCTGCCAAAGGTGGAAGCATCATTAGCTAGCTTGGAACAAGAGTCCCAGGCTGGATAATATTAAATCTCTGTGTATTTAGCATGTGTCTTCAGGAAACACTGCATGCTGGAAGCAGAAGGCCAGTGGCAGCACGACAGCCATTTTGATGCCATCCAAGTACTTCCCTTTGTCTGTCCTCCAGGACATCCCTTCCTCTGCAATAATAACGAGTAACATCACTGGAGAAGGATTGTGCTCTAGCGAGAACAAGGCCTTTGCGTTGTAATGAAGGTAGGTTTTCCTTTGTTGTTTCTTTGATTAAACTAATTTTTTTTCTTTAGAGAAACCCCTAAAAGATAAAATAAATATATATTTACCATTAGATCATTAAGCCCAATTGGGGGTGCTGGAGAAACAGCACAATCACAATGCACAAAGGCTACAGGCAGACCCCCAAACACACTTCAAGCAGCTACCCCATACACATACAATCCCAGACAAAAACGACACACAAGGATACTCTCTCTTAGACACACTCTCAGGCACATACACAGGTAAATTGTGCATCAATGTGTATATGTGACAGTGTGCATGTATTGCAACTTAATATTTTTCACTTTTTTTTTGTTAGTGGAGTTTCATGTTTCAGTTTCGCCTAAGGCTTCATAAAGTCTAGAGCCGCCTTTGCTGGGAACCATCACTCACTTTTTTAAATCTGGGCCCATTGGGCCCACAGTACACTTTCTTTAGGATTTATTTGTAAATTAAATGTGGCCCCACTTAGAGTTGCTTTTATATGAGCTAATTTCATACATTTCTCAATGTCCTCCCAAATAAAGTAGTCACTACTCCGAATAACTTTGTCAAAATTTTCTGCTGAAAATGTTGTTTTACTAAGTAAAATCTATTTCACAATGGCATCTGTGGGTCAAAATACCAAATAGCTCTCTCCTTATTCTGGGATAAGAATGCAGATGATGTTCCTAAGAGTGAATCTAGATACTAGTTGAAACAGACCATGGTTTGTTTTTTTTGCTTACTTTTATATATAAATCTATTGCTCAGCCACACAATGTCCACATACCACCCTCTAAATGTTTATCAGCTCGTTCTGGCAAAGGCCTGCAGTTCTGTGAATTTGCTGATCTACAAATTCTCATTCAATTGACCTGATTCACCTGAGCTCAATTTCATATGTCAAACTATAAATAAAGCAGGGTTGCAAATCTCTGTCCTCGTGCTAACTTCTTTACTTAGATTCACTGAACATAGCATACAGTTTTAAAATGATGCCCATGGGAACACTGCCACCATCATTGACTTAGACATGCCAGCAGCTGTTTTGTTATGTTCCAGATTAACTCCCATGCCCTGTAATACTTACAGTTTACTAGAACTGTACACATTGACGGGACAGAGGAACTGCTTAGTCTTCCTGCCTTGTCTACATTTCAATTTGGTCTTAAAATAAATTGTTAGTTAAATTTAGATTATTTTTTTTTACTTTACCTGTTGAAAACATATTCTATTTAAACACCGCCCTTTACATATAGAACAGTTCAATACAATCATTCATCATCAGAGAGCACACATTACTTTATGTATCACAGCCAATTCAAAGTATGACTTGTCCTCTCGGTCATCTCTTCCAAGAAACTAAGAAGTAAGTAAAGCCTCCAAAATATCATATATGGCAGAGAAATGTAGTGTATAAATTGTTGTAAAATATTGCTTGCTTTCACATATATGTTAATACATAACTGGCGATATAATCAGTAAATAATAACAAGATAATTTTGGGGGGTGTTCCTGCAGCTGGATGTATGTATTTTTGGTTGCAATCGTTTTACAAATTAGAGCAGACACTGGCAGGTATATTCACTAAAGTATATATTGCAGGGAATTAATGGTAAATTCAAAGTGCATTTCAAATTTAAAGAGTTACACCCTCTTTTTTTAGTCATAATGCACAATTGGGTATTATGCATTAGGTCACCTTATAAACTCTAAAATAACAAACAAAATACAGCATAATTTACCCAAAGCATAACTTAGCTGAAATCCAGCAAAGCTCCTTGCATCACTTCCCACTTCCTGTTTGACATCACGGCAGGTATTGCGAGATCCAATAAAAAGTTTCTCATAGAACTGGCAAGGGGAGGAGCTGGGAGAGGGGAGGTAGGAGATAGTATTAAAAAAAAACTATTGGAGGGTATAGGGAGGATGGAGGGCTTCAATAAAGGATGGAGGGGACTTACACATTTGCCTGCAAGAGAAAAGCTAATTACATCTATTGCCAGCCTGGCAAAACTATCCAACCCCTTTCTCCTCTTTTGTATACCCATCTGACATTCTATACTGCTCCTAACCCAATTGGCTTAAGTAGTATCCCAATCTTATTTTCTGGCACTCAACCTCTTCAGTCCGTCTCCCTCACTAACACTTTATATCTCTCTATATATCTCAGACACCTCTCTTCCTGGCACTCAGAGTCATCAGTGACTCTCTTCCCTATCAGCATTTATTATGGACATGGTCCTGGAACTGCGGCTCTACCAAACCCTATTTTAACTCAACATGGATGATTGAATGTATTACCCATTAGTCATTTACTAAATAAATTCTAGCAGAGACATATACCACAAATCTCCAATGTAAAATTATTTTTGAAATATTGTATATTTTTGCACCTAAACTGCACAGGTGGAAAGGAGCTCATAGTTTTTGAAAAATTGTAAAATTACATTTAATATATTACATACGGTAGGTGGAACACACTTCTGATGATTCTTCAAAAAAAACAAACACAAAAGAATATTGTCAATATGAATAATATATAAATGTTGTAGTTACTTACAAACATGGAGCCAAATCATGACAAATGGCTCTGATGGGTAGTGCAGAGGGACTCTTAATAGGATGTACCCATCCTTCTTCCAGCTGATATGTGTATAGCCTTTATGGATCTTGGAGAAATGAAGAGATGATAAATCTTCTCAAATATGAAATACTTTATTGGTTAAAATAAAATTAGGCACAATGCACTACGTGCACTAAAAGAGGGTGCTATATGGATAAAAATAAATAAAGGTAAAAGTGGAATTAAAAATTGAAATAAGTCTAAATAAGTCCAATGTAAATACAGCCAAATTGTTCACACTGAGGTTGTTAAAAAAATTTATTACAAAAACTTCTGTGAGTTCCTACAACTCAAAAAATGCAATATATAAATACAAAGAGTAGACAAACTAGCTTGTTGCATTTGTGAGTATTTTCTAAGGAGACATGAGTCATTTTTAATTATTATCAATAAATTTAGAAGGAATGGTGTTTTGGAATCTGTAGAAAATTGATGGTGATGTGAATCTGGCTTCATCTATTTAGATAATGTACTTTTTAAATTGTATTATATTTTTTCCTTCTTTGCTGTAAAACATTATTGATGCATATTCCTATAAACCAGTGCTGGTGTTTGTTGTAAATGTGTAGTTGAGTTGATGCTGACAATAACACATTCACCTCAAAGGAATGGAACATGTAGATTAACTTCAAATAACAGCAATAACAAGATCTCATAAGGACTAGTGGTTTTTTGGCACTTAAGATTCAGAGCAGAGAATTGAGCAGTGAGACTGAATGGGCATGATCTATACACCAAGACTGCTTTATTAGGCTACATATTTTTGGTACTTAAAGTATTAATTTAAAGAAACTGTGAACACATACAAATACACTTACAAATCGTAAATGACAACTTTAAATCATCTATCATAGCAAATACGAAATTGGATTTAAATCACACCACATGGCCAAGTCATGTTTAAGTTGCTCTTCAAGAACCACAATATTGGTGTGTCCTACAATATTCTTAATGTGTGAAATAAATATATTACCTGCAGTAGCTTACTGCATATACTGCTTAGGGAGGGTGTCAACAAATTAATGTTTTCTTGGCGTCATAATGCCAGTGGTTGATTGTTTATGAGTGCCTCTGCAACCAAGAGATGCCATTAATGCACAATATAGGAGATGCCACATCATGCAAGAGAACAAAAGATGGTGAATACACTTAGCACAGCTTGGCATTTTAACGGCATTTAAAACCACAGAAGAAAAATGGTGGAGAGTGTGAATGGAGTAAAAACTTTATGTTTTTGAAATAAATATTCACAGTTTGCCTCGTTATTAATTTATGAAATGTATGAAAATGAATAAAAGATTATTAACCGTTAACCTAAATATGATACTGATCAAACATTTAATCTTTATGTTTTCAATTAAAGCGGCACTGTCATGCCGAAACCTGTTTTTTTTTTAACCCCCCTCCCGCCTCCACTACATCCAATTGACCCACTAGTCACCCCCAAATGCCCCTAAGCCCCCCACATTACCTATTTTTTAATCCTTATTTTCTGCCCCGATCTTGATTCAGGGCGCCGCCATCTTTGTGTGGGTAGGTGAAGTCCCTGTGGGACACGTCATCTGCCCACACTAGGCAGACTGTGAGATTCCCGCACATGCCCAGTGAAACACCTGGAAATGCGAACGGGAATTTCATCTATTCATTCATTCATCAGACAGACGAATGAGTGAATAGAAAGATCAGCCGAACAAACAAACACAATCTATCAGTGTATGTTTGTTCGTGCAGTTTATAACAAGGAGGGAGCTACCGGCGTGCAGCTCCCTCCTTGTAATATGTAACTATAGAAGCGGCAGGGAGCAGTGCTCCCCACCACTTCATAAGCCCCCCAGTACCCCCTCTCACTCTATGGGGGTCAATATGACCCCCATAATAGCACAAGAAAGATTTAAATCTCCCAAATGCCCCTACTCACTATACCGCGAGTAGGGGCATGTCTACTAAACAGTGAGCAGCCTGTGGCTGCTCACTGTTGAAAAAAAAGACATAAATTACAATAAGGGGGGGCGGACCTATTGTCCTGCCCCCCTCCCCCACCCTGAGCGGCGGGTGGGGGCCATAAAGATA